GCTTCCCCGAAAAAGATGGTCGTAAAAATGCCTCTGACCCGGCAGATCCGTCGCTTTGCTTTGTGTACATCTCATCCATGTTATTAAGTGAAAAATGAAGTGTTTTGCTTACAACCGTCTTAAAATGAAATCCATAATTCGTTTTTGTACAGTCTCTATGAGAAGCATTTCAGTTCTGTAGGGAGAAGCACACGAAATGCTGACTTATATTTAGACTGATATTGTTATAGATCGATTCTGAAAATTCTGGTTTTACTATTCACTTCGCTGTTTGTCAACATGTAGAAGCCATGGATTTGATGTTGCGAGCATGATGTCGGAATTACTTGAGCTTGCCCTTCTATGAGTTCTTTGGTTTCCACCTTCTTTTCCTTTTTCTTTTTATAACTGAATATCTCTCAAGGCCAATGGGGCACAGTTTAAAACTTGGTGGAGAGTTTTAACCTGCTACATGTGCTTAAACTCACACGTCACTCATTACGCTCTTACTACTGGACCAATACCTTGGGGCTGTTTTCTTTTCATCGTTCATTTCTGTAAAATAATCTTGGATGCGTTCGAGGCTGTCGCTTTGAGCCCCAATGCCAATTAGAGTGACATATTGTCCAATCGATACAGTGGGTTTCTGTAGCTGGCCTTTCACAAGTCAAGAAAAATTTAAGGAAAATTGAAAGATAATTTCATCCAGTTTTGTGTTAGAGAAATGACTTTTTTTCTTTTCTTCTGATGAAGAACATGCTATACAGGAGTGGAAGCTTCTACCAATGTCCTAGGAGAAGGCTAAAACTGATTTGTGGTCAATGTGTCATATAATTTGGAGAATACATATGTTCTGCGTATTGGACGTTGAGATAGGGGCCAAGGGAGCCTGCTGCTAATCATGATTTGGTTAGTTGGCGAGTAATACTGTTTCTCAAAGAGTAATTAGGTATCCCTTTCATATATTATAATCTCTTACTTGTAGCTGTTAACCTGTCTCCCGGACTAAATAAATTATGGCAGTTCCCATACAGAGAAAATAAACAAATCTCTANCTCCGTCTTTGTCTGAATGTCAGCACCTAGTATTATTAGCATTTGAATACAAGTATTTGATGGGAACGTGAAGACCACCTTCAGGTAAAAAGGGGAAAGTTCGTTATTGGTGGCCATAACATGCCAAATTCTTACCCAACTAGTCCTCATTACTCTCAATCTGCCAGTTTTGAATGCATTTATCATAACCTTATAATTTAGAATACAAAGGAGGGATTATATTAAATAATTGTTCTATTTTGTTATACTTTGGATGTATTAGAGTATGTGTTGAAAAGTGATTAGTTAGGATAAGTTAGAAGGTATTAGTATATATATA